CTAGTCACCCATGACCGTTTTCTGCTCATCTAAATATTGAAACAATTGGAACTGTCAAGGAAGCACGTGAACTTCAAGTAAACAGTTACTAATTTACATTCGTTGACATCCATTCGTTAGTGACATATCCGAAAGGCTATGCGTATTGAAACTGTATTTTATGCTGAGATATGGAGAAAGATGGAGGACACAGACAGAAAATTTGGCAGAAATTTCATGATACGAAGTCTGTTTGAAATTTCTAAAAAACGGTCAGGACTAATTAGCGCACACAGACAGGCGGGCGGACGGATAACAATACAAAACTGTAAAGGCCATGAGAATTCGCGCAGTACTTGGCCCATGACACTACATGTTAAGTTGTAGTATCATGGTACTGGGCAGTACTCAGCAAATCAGTGAGCTCTAACGTTCGCTTATTATAACGATATGGTCATTGTTCCAACTCTGAACGCGTTTTGGTTTTAATTTGTGTTAAATTTGCGGTTCTGATATAAAAAGTATAAACATTTACATTTTATAATAACAAGATGATATGGCGAATATAGGACTATAGTTAAAAAATTAAAATAAAACCCATCTTGGATGTGTTTTACACAGAATAGTAAGTATAACAATGTCTGAATATAGTACAAATACGACCGAAATACATTATGTAGTTCTGAACACTGTAAAAGTTCTCAACTGTACGTTTTCCATTTGGACTAAATCCAATTTTTACTCTCGGCCATTATTCAAATGCAAAGATTTATAGTGAATTGTCGGATATAAATCCGCCGAAAATACGAGAAAATTGTTGGACTCGATGATAATTTATCACAAGAATCGCTCGGGTGCAAAAGCAAATTGTTAACAAAAATTTAAACTACTTTTTGCCGATTTAATAATGTTAACGTTAACGTTTTTCCTGTGCCGCGCGGCATAAATTGGAATTATAAACGTCAATTGTGGCGAGTAAATGGACGAAAGAAATTATCCGAGCATTAGCGGTCCATTAACGGTCAGAAGTTGAGAGCAGTTCGCATTATTAGTTCCGAAACCATGAAGAATGAGATTTGCTCTTGAATAGTTTCATGTAAGGGGTGCAAAGTGATTGATACGTTTAGCTGCGACCCCTCAATTTCAAATATGACTAATTTTTCGAATTCTATTTTCCGGATTTAGAACGACATTATTTGTGCGTAATCGAGTCTAAGTTTTATTGCTTTGCTTCCGTTCAAAATCCCAAAGTACACCTAATCCTTATTAATCGTTTAAAATTGAAAATATAGAAGTTGATTAAATTAATTCTAAGAGCGGTCCGTCTGATAACGTTAAGAAAGGTACCATTACAGTGTGCAAAAAAAAGACCCGCTCCAGGTTGGGGAACCATTCTGCAATTTTTATGCATTCCGAAGGTTTGCGTTTAGTAAAAGGTTTCGCGTCTGCTGAGATGCTATAGAAAAGCGTTTTTATTTTACAGCAGATGTTAAATTAAAATTTTCTCAAGTTTGAATGAGTAAGCTAAGTATCTCGTTAATAGTAAGGGTAGATAAATTGAAACAAACATTGTGCATTCCAATGACATCTGCCATTCTAAAAAAAATAGTACGCAGAGCACGAAATAAAATGAAGTTCAGAACAGAATTCAGTATTTTTCCATGGAAACGACGGGAGAACCTAAACTTGCTATTTTGGACGTCTTAATTAAATACCTTCAGAAGTTTTATAATGATTTCTATGGTTTGCGCTATAAAATAAAGTTTTCTATTATACACGACGATAAAGGGAAAGTAACCATCCCGTGAAATATCCTTCACTCTGAGTGAAGTGAATCACTCGATGATTAGAACGTCCCTTTATCGTCTTGTATAATAAATAACTATTATTTATGAAATAATTTAAAGAAAATTTGTTCCCGCAACTAAATAAAAATGTTCCAAAGCCCCCTCGTTGTTGTTGCCACGTAACACAACTACAAATGATGAATAACGAGCGCATATAGATTATAGCAGCTATCAATTTGCGAGAATCCGAAGTGTCTAGGTGGTCAGGGGCCGAGACCTCGAAGAAACAGACAGACAGACGACGGAAAATTGAGCACAGAATCCTTACCTCAACTTTGTTGTGTGACGTGTGCTGTGTCTGTCGGTCTGTTTTTCTCTATGTCTACTTTTAAATGACAAAATCTCTTCTGAAGGACGCCTAAGTTTATGCAACCAAAATAACTTCTTAAAACAAATAAAGATCTGGCTGTCACATGAATTAATTTCAATATCACATTGGGCGATGCGGATAGAGTTTTGATGTCAGATTTTTTTCTCGAGTGCAAGTGTCAGGTGTGAAAATTTGTCAGATGCCGGAAGTGTACGAGTAGGGATTATAAAAGTTCTAACTTTCCATTTTCATTTGTTTGATCTAGCTGAACAGATGTTTTGTGGGTGGTGTAGTTGACCGCATATCATGTCACACAGCATTATTTATTTGGCGCCCAACATGGGGCCACAGCAGTACCGTGTGTCCTATTTTGGTTGAGACTGCGGTGTATCTCAGTTGTTTTTAATGATAGAGAATTGGGGTTTTCGCAACCCTGTGCCACTTTTTCGTAAAACTTTTAATGCCACAAACAAAATCAATCTAGCTACGTTTATTTCTGAGATACAGGGTGAAAACGAAAAGTTTATTACATTGATGTATCATAACTTCTATTTTTTTATATATTTATATATTGATGTCAGCTATTTTTTTTTATTGATATCGGCTGCCGTGAGTGAAACAAAATCTCCATGAATCCATGGCCTACTATTTAAAAACCGTAAAAAATAAGGTTTAATTTTTGGTTCATGGCTAAAATTTATAAAAATATAGGTTACGAATTTATGATACATCAACGTAATCAGATAATAGTGCTGCAATTGTTTATTTTTACTATACCACTGGATTCTACGTAAAATATCTAGAATATGCGATGTACCGTGCACCTTCGGTGGTCTCCCAAGCAAAATTTCTGGAACTCCCAAGTGCAAAAGAGTAGGTACTAGACATTGCTTTAGAAGAACTTCAGCGTCTTTATTAGCCAACGTGGGAGCTGAAGTCTTCAAATGTAGTTGAAGGATACGTAGAAGCTTCTTTAGAGAATAAAAAGATCTGTACCTTGCTAGTAGGTGGAGAAAACTAGCAAAACAACCAGATTGCAAAAAAAATAAAATTTAATGAATCTGGTTACTGATTGATCGTCTCCCGGAGCTTCAAATGTTCTGATGAATTCTGTGTAACTTCTGGTGTTTGTTTTTCGAATTTAATCATTATTTTAAATCTAAATAAAATAGTGGTATAAAAATCGGTTCAAAATAAAAATTCATATTGGCACTAGTGTACAAGTATCTCATTTTAGCATTCAAAATGCTGACAAAGTATCATGAGATTGGTTAGAAATTGTAAAAATATCTATTTGATCTTTACGCTTAATAATAAAGTATGGTGATGAATCTACATTTTTTTGCACCCTTAATATACACTTTTAACCTTTATATTATTTTCATCAATAACTTTCTGCAATCCGCAGCAATCATGGAAATGATAAGAAAAGAAGGGATTGCAGATCATTCTATTATACAACGTGTCCCCACAAAAATTTGTAGAATTATGACAGTCGATTAAAAAAAATTAAAATGGTCTTGTCCTCGTCCTGTTTAAAAATTTGTGGGGAGTTGCAACCCTCGCACATGGTTAAAGTTGCAAGAATTATTTTTGCATAAAAATTGGTCCCCTCGATAAAAATCAACTACTTTTTGGGGAGGTACAAATTTTAGTCGGGACACCATGTAGAGCTGTACTTTTGTATGTTTATAAATCGGTTATAAACGTGAAAATTACACTTGCAGCAATGAATATGAACCTGTGTAAATTAAATTTATTTGAAAAAGCGATTAAAATTTTAACGACTAAAATAAAGATAAAATAAAAGAAGGAAAACAAGCCTAATATTGATTACTGGGGGTTAGAGAAATAAATTGTCAAAACTTAGAGTTATAAAAGTTGAACCATTTGGGAAATGGTTTGGCAGTCGACAATCGTTTTCAATTCGAACATTCGAAAAGTTAGGCGGAACCTTTTACCCCATTTCCATATTTTATATTTCAGTAAGCTTCTTCAGTCAATAACATCAGAACTAAATTGCCCCATATTTATCTTTTCAAACATTTTTATAGACTTTTTACTTTTTTAAATTTACATGACAAGTTTCTTTTTTTCTACTTTACATTACTAAAGGGACACAACGAAAACGTCAAATTTGAATAAATAAATGGTAAATTGGAGATTTAGGTCGTCGAGTGTACTTCTATATGAGTCAATGAATCACTGCTAGCGGGCGGGTTAGTATTTTATTATTATAGGAAGTAGGGTATAGATAATGCTATTAGTATTCATTGGGTTTATGGTCCATGCATAAAAGTTTCCGCAGACAGGGAAATCTACGTAATGTGCGCATTATCTGCAGAAGCCTAAACTAGCACATTCGATCACAGCCGCCCACTCTATTCAACGTCACGTGTTCATGTCATTTCGCGTTTTTACTGAACTTTTTAGATGCACAAATTTACTCACATGTAAAAATAGCAAGTGCGTAGCCATTAGCACTTGTTAAAATTATTTTAAAACGAATTCAATTCGAAAGTGAATTTGAAAACCAAACGGCGACATCATGGCGCATTAGATCGGTCGCGAAATAATTAGTAATTGCGTATCGTTTGTATAAAATCCCAATTTTGGTTTATTAATTAATTGTAGTAGTGTTCTTTCGACAGAATACATACAAATAGACTCTTTTAGCGTTTGTTTTAAAACTCAAACATTCTATACCATTAGAGTTACCTACCTAACCGTAACGTGGATATTAAAATCGCAATTACTGATAACAATTCAACCAATAAGGTTAAACGTAACTCATAAAATTATTATGAGCACTGAAGCAGATATATCTATACACATTTTTAAAATAATTAGTTTGTAATAATACACATTCCGATAACTGTTCGCGATTGCATATAATTAATTCGATTAATTTGCGTTTGTACAATAATAGGAGAAACTCTATTGTTAAGAAAAAGCAAACAATTTGAAAAATATTGTAGTTTAATGTCGTCAATTTTAAGTAATAATGTGTATTTAGTGGTGACGGGGTAAGGTAGGTACGTAAGGAGATTCATTACACTTTGGTTGCTCATCCCCATCGTACAAAATACCTAGTTACCAATAAAATACATATATTTTGACCTTGTATCGTTATTTATTTCAAAACAAGAGACTTACCAAACGACCCTCGTATTTCCGTATGTCCGTATTACCTATTCATTTTTGTCAAATATGTTTCAGATAATTCCGGCTGAAAACAAACTATTCTTTGGAATGACAAATGAACAAACAATTAACGGACAGGTGATAGCTTTCCCAGTAGAAAATGTGAGGAGAGGTATTGACTCCGTTTGCCTAAAACTTGTAAGTACCTCGCAGGTTAATCCGTCACTAAGCGGAAGTTAGAACTGACATTGTGCAGCCGATCATAAAGGAAAATTCGCTTTGTCACCTATTTGTCAATTTTTAATAATGCTAATGAATTCTGTAAAAGCTATTATGACCATCCTGGATGCTTAACACTTTTTAAGACAAAAATAAAAAAATTAAAAAAACGTTTTTTAAAAATTATTTATGACAATTTATGTCCATTTTGCAGCTTTATTGAAAAAATACGCATGCGCAGATTGCACCAATGCTAACTTTTATTTGTAGAGATATTTTTTTGAAATTTTAACAACAGATGCTTCTATAAAGGTAAACATATCTACCGTATACAGGATGTAAAACCGGTTTATGCACCATAGGGATTTCAATTCGACAAACCGGAAAAAATAAATAAATTAGAATTTATTATTTAAGTAAAAATCTAATTTGTGTTTCAATAATGTCACAAAAATAGACGCAGAATTTTACGATCTACAAAAAATTTATTTACAACTTAGCAGTAAAATAATTAGAGGAGAAAATATTCCAGTTTTACGTTTACGATTGCAATCCCTGAAACCAATTCTACACCCTGTATAATAAATATCACATGTGCACATTCGCAAACTGCTCAATTCCAACTTTATTATTTATTGAGATTTTTTTTAAATTTTAAACACATTCTTCTACTAAAGGCAAACATAACGCTTGTAGTAAAATCAGATGTCCGCATGTGCAGACTGTGCAACCTTTTTATTTATGGTGTTATTCCTTGGAATTATTAACCAAAGATGCTGCTACTAAAGGCGTACATATCAAATATTGTACACACATGTCTTATTTATAGAGATTTTTTTATATTTTAACCATAGATGCTTCTAGTGCAGAAAAATATAGCGCATATAGCTATGGCATTTTGGAAAGTACTGATCAATATTAGGTAAACACTTCTAGCACTAGCAAATACTAAATACTTTACAAAGTATTCAAATTCTTTCAAAAATATTTAAATACTTTAAAATCGTTTAAAATGTATTCGAATACTTTCAAAAGTATTTGTATCTACTGAATCTATAAAATATTGGTGTTATCAAATCATATCGTGGTGTTGTGGCTTAAAAATCGCTATCGTCACACCTCGAAATTTTTTAGGTATAAAAATCCAATACAACTGAATACTATCGAGAATTCCCGAGATTTTATTTTGGGCTGCAACTTTTGGGCCCGATGGTCTACGTAGCGGAAAAACAATAGCGACCTTTCGGATATCCTTAAGAACATTTGTTCCAATTTTCAAAGCGATCGGATTTTTTAAGTGTTTAAGTATTCGAATACTAAATATTTGTTTAAGTACCTATTTGAATTAAAAATACAAATACTGCTTCCATAAAAGTATTTACTTACAAAGTATTTGAATGTTTTAGTCATTGAATACTGACAAGTATTTACAACATCGAATACTGCCTGGCTCTGGCAGGAGTAAACTTTAAGAAGTTAAGTATTTATAATTGACGATCTTCTCTCAAATATGAACCATACAGTATTTTGTTTATAAAACCTAAATTAATTTTAATTTTAAAAACTTACTGAAGTCCCTTAAGCTTAAATTACACGTGTCATTTTTTTTCAATTTTGACTTGTGGTCCTTAATATTGAATATTGCGGAAATGCATATAGTACATGTCAATTTTAGGTGTGCGGACAATTCGCGCCAGGATAATTCAAATCTCAATACAGTTAGGGCTAAAATCGGGAAGAAATCTAGAACTTCAATATTTGTCATTGAGACTACTTTTACAGAAAAAGCACACTATGTGTAAATCGGCGTTAAAATAATGAGGAACATTAACACATTCATATTTGTACATGAAAAGAATGCTTTATAAATAAGGGGACCATATATTTGTGTTCAGACCACAACTACGTTTATTTATGTATTCAAAGTGGTATTCCTACTTTTTGCATGAAAACCTTTCGTACTTTTAATTCCCCAATTTAAAACGAAATGGACGCCACTGTCTAACCATACTACCTACTTGTCTCGAGAATGTAGTTCACATGTCACAATATCATAGTTCCTTTATTCCTGAAAATAGTGCATTCTGTCTACTAACCTCGTGCTTAAATACTTTAATACGAAAATCTTTTAATTTAATTGTTGTCAGTATACAGTACTTTTTGTAAATGACTGCATACAACGCATTTATCATTAAGATCCATTACAGCATTGGTGTAATTCTTATTTAATAAATGTATTAGTCCCATAACCTTACTTTTGTGTTGATGTTTTTGTGAAGTTCCGATGGAATTAGAAAGGATTTCCAATTCTCAATCCTTGAAGATCTCCTGGATTAAGCCGACCAATGTTATTAAAGGACGAGCATTGCGAAGGAAAAAAGTTATACCGAATAATCGGAATAATGAGCCTTCCACATCAGCTGTGCGAAAGGTTGCCGAACCAAGTCCTGTTACATCAGTAGGTTTTAAAAACTTCCCTAAGCCTACGTCAGTTCATATAAAACGCAAACACAAAAAGGATAAACAGAAATCGTCACACCAGTCTGATGCAGACAGTGTTAAACAACATGCGGTGGAAAAAGAACCGCAAACTTACATTATGAAAGAAAGTGTCTCTGAGAGAGTGTTTACAGAATCTGGTAAGAAATTCGGTGATCTTGATATTCATAGACACTTAGTTTCAAACTTGGAGAAGATTAATTTCACAACATTAACAACAGTACAGGAAAAAGTCATTCCAATTCTTCTATCTGGGAAGGATATGCTGGTTAGTAAATCTCTAAGCAAAGTGATGTGATACTACTGTATTTCTAGGTGCGTTCGCAAACTGGCTCTGGAAAAACCCTAGCATACGCTGTTCCGATTATTGACGCTTTGCAAAGTTTGACACCACGATTAAAAAGGACAGATGGGGTGCAGGTAATGGTAGTGGTTCCCACAAGAGAACTAGCGTTACAAACTCACGAATTGTTTAAATCGATTAATGTAAGTTCTTGCTTCTTTAAGCTCAGTGTTGTATGTAAAGTTGTAGACGTTCCAATGGATTGTTACTAGCCATTTGTGCGGTGGTGAAAGTCGAAAGTCTGAAAAGGATCGTCTGAGGAAAGGTGTACATGTTTTGATCGGCACACCTGGACGATTACTAGATCATATGTTCCACACCTCTGCATTGAAAGTAAACAGTGTTCGGTGCTTGATACTCGATGAAGCCGATCAATTACTTGATATGGGCTTCAGAAGAGATATTGATAGGTATGAGTCCACTTTAATAACTTATGTTTCATGCTAATTTCCAGTTTGGTTGAAGAGTTAAACAAATCCAAGGCACAAGAAGAGTATCAACCCCTCGACATCTTAAAGCACGGCCATAGAGCAGAGGATGTGGAAGAAACAGAGGGGTTTTCATTGAAAAATCCCAACAGCAAAAATCGACAGACAATCTTACTGTCTGCCTCTTTGTCACAAGACGTAAAGGAGCTCGCCGAGTTTGTTTTGCGAGAACATACCTTTGTAGATGCGTTGGATGGTAGTGAAAGTGGGGAAAGTTTAGTTATACCAGACACTATCAAACATTTTTTCATCATGTCCGGAATAAAAAATCGACTTGTTTTACTTTCCGCGATGATAGCCGCGAAATCAAAGCAAAACTCAAAAATTTTTATTTTCATGGCTAGCACACAAATGGTGGAATTTCATTATGAACTTTTTACAAATTTTTTGCAAAAAGTGTCTGTGAATAGTGATAATGTTATACTGGATGGTGTGGGTAGTGATGATGATAGTGATTTAGAGGGTGTACTGGACACAAAGTTTTTTAAATTGCATGGGTCAATGGATCAAAAAATGAGGAAGCAAGTGTTTACAGAATTTCGAGCTGCTAAATCTGGAGTACTCCTCTGTACAGTAAGTATGCGAGTGGTAAGGGATAAGAATTGAGACTTAAGAGCTTTTAACAGGCTCGTAGGAGCTATGATGGCTTATAACAAAATGTCTTCACAAACCATCAGCCACTTAGGCTCCCTGGCTCCTACGCACTACACAGTATTGCATTCTGTGATTTGAGTATTGACCTTGAGTGCCTAAAGCAGAGCTATGTTTTTTCCCTGTAGAAAGTTGGAGGTAGGTAATAGATGTAAGTATGAAAAATTTACTCACAGCCCAGCCTAGGCCTAGGTCTATATTTTTAATGAGCTTTTGCCACTTAGGTAGTAATTTTGACATATGATTAAATTGAAGTAATGGGGATTTAGGATAATTTAACCGGTTAAACCGGGTGGGTACAATAATTATTGCCGCAATACAACTGTTTCTATGGTGATTTCTACCAATCTGGTTAAACCTTAGACCATATATTACATGGACTGCTATTCGCCCTATGTTTTCAATACAAAATGGGTGGTCACGGATAGAGGGCACTGTAGTCGTGGGTATGTGAATCTCAGGGTAAACTAAAGTCGTATGTACACCACTCGGATCGCGTAAAGAGCAGATTTATAGTAACCGCGTAGTACGGGAAGCTTTAAATGCTCTTCATTATTTGCTATACGTCCACAAATAAGAATAAGTTTGCTTTTTTTTGGGATATCTAGGCGATTCATTAATTGACGTTTGTGAATTTATAGGTTGACAGTCTCAAATCGTGTCTCATCGGAAAACTTCGGACAGACTCGTTTACCCTGAAACTCACATACCCAGGCGATGTCCTTGACCATATTTTCGTTACAATTAGCAATCCACTGTAACTTTTGAACTAGTAGCCCAATCTTGGAACTGTTTGAAATTATAGATTCTACAGGCCACATTCTATAAGAAAATTTTTTTTTCGGGTCGATCCGAGACAATTTTTTTTTCGGGGCTCAAAAAAGGCAGTGTATAACCTTCCTTTTTTCCAAAAATTGACTGCACCAAAATTTCTCGGGAAAACACTTTCTCTTATTAATTTTGGTGCGTAGAATCCAAAACAATTCGTACTTTTTCGATCAGACTTCTCAATCAAAAGTTATAGACTAGAAACCAATTTCGAAAGAAAATTCAAAGGGCTGTATGTCCATGTACTATATGCTCTAAGGGTTAAACGCGCTATAGATTTCCTTTGACAATTCAACTCATGTATAAAAAATCGCATAAGCGGCTGTGCAATTGTCACTTTGACAGCGGCAAAAGTTACCTGCAACTTTTCCAGCGACAAATGCACTATAAATAGTGGTTTTTTCACTTATTCATTTTCGAACCAGCATTATCCCTTCCCATATGACTAGTTGGACATCTGTCAATTAATTGATTAGTTTGGTGAATTTCTTGTTCGTTAAATTGTCCTGCCGAATTACACTCGAGGTTTACATTTAAACCGAATAAATTTGTGTTGTTGCAATTCAAATCTGTTGCCTTTTAGCAATTGAACTCGAAAAACTGTCAACCTCAAAATGCTCCACCTGCTAGGCAACAGATTTTCATTACCTAAACAACCCAAATTTACTCGGTAAAATACAAACCTCTTGTGCAATTATAAGTGAAAAATTACATTTTTAACTAAAATTACCTAGAAAATTACTATATAATAGATTGCAACTCAAAAATTTAGAAACCAAGATACAACTTTTTTGCTAGGGCAGCAATATTCGAGGGATGTGTCACCCCTAAATATTATTGCATTTAATTTGTTTTTTTGGGTGTTTATAAATATTTATTGTATTTATGGAACGTAAATATATTTAAGTGTATTTAAACATATGTACAGGTATTTAGAATACAGGGCGATTCAAAAAGAATCATCCGATTTTGTAGGTTTATAATTTGTTTAGACGCCATTTTGACAATAACTGAGCTGGGCGTTGACAGAAGCGCGCTACTGCTACCTAGCGGAAACCACGCGAAACTCGAGAGCTTCCTCTTACTAACAGTACATTGTTCTATCAAATCGGACTTATAGATGAATAGCAATAAATTTTTAAAATCGGATGATTCTTTTTGAAACGCCCTGTATTATGTACTTACATTTCTAAAAGCATTTATTTCATTCTGTGGTTCAAATTCGTGGCTCACCATTGGGATCTCCGTAAGGAGGAGAGATAAAGAGTAGGTGAATTGGGGATAAAGCTTCCCATTTCGTGACTAACAAAACGCATTTGAAATCTTTGAAAATTCTTTAAAGATAACTAAAATACCTACATATCACAAAAAAATCTAAAAATGTAAAATTTCGATTTCATTTTTCCTAGCTTAAATGAACAGAAATGGAAATTAGCACCTTCTATGTGCACTTTTTTTTTCGGAGAATCTGAATCTTTTATCAAAATTTCCATATCACGCTAAATGTACAAGATACTACTTTCATATTTCTTATGGACGCCATATTGGATTTTTACGGAATGGAATAAAGAACCTCGTAAAGAACAAAACAAGAAATTTATTTTAACGCGTCACCATCATAGCCATGTTGCTTCAGCAAGATCTAGTTACCCGTGGATGTTTTGTGCAGAAATAAAGTAAATCGCCATTTGATTTGGAAATTTTTCTTGTAAATTTATCTCCTAGTATCTGTAAAAGTATAGAGTATGGCATTATTTTTCTGTTTTTATTTTCTATATCTTAGTCCATAAAAATCCAATATGGCGCCCGTAAGAAATAAACAAGTGGTAGCTTCTACATCTAGCGTGTTATGGAAATTCTGATAATAGATTCAGATCCTCCAAAAAAGTGCCCGTAGAAGGTGCTCACGAGAACCGTCCATTTCGGACCGCGTAAGTTAAGAAAATGAAACCGAAATATGTCATTTTCAGTTTATCGTTTATTTCGAGGCCGCCTAAGAAACTTCGATGTAGCATTTTTTTCGACATTTGAAAATGCAAAAAAATAAAGCAAGTTTCATTTGAAAAAAATCAACTTTTTAAGATTCGAAGTTTTTAAACTTGACCGTGAATTTTAAAACGCCCTGTAGAAGGGCGATCAAAATTTAAATCATTCGCATGTAGCATCACGTCAGTATTGTTGATTTTGGAAGACTTTTTGAAATTCAAGCCAACGCAGCCATAGGTAGGGGGCACTAAAGAAGAGCAGTCAAACGATTTTCATGTAGATTTCGATAATGCAATTAAATATAGGGTGTCCTATTTAAAATGAGAAGGTTGCTATTCACATCCGGTAAAACCGGAAGTGAAACGATCATGATAATATTTTATTTTGATAGATCATGAAAACTATGTTGGTATGCAAATTTTCAGATTTATATTATTAATGGAAGTCTAAATACATTTAGGTAACGGTTTGCGTGAAACAGCCTGTATATATATACTGCATTCATTATAAGAAGGTAGCACATGGGGCTGTATTTGAAGATCAGCACACACAGGAAAAATATAAACCGGCACCAAATTATTGTAAAGTAGAAATATCTAGCACTGCGAACAGAAATAAATCAAACGATGTCACGCTTGGATCTTTGACAGCTGACAGCTAATGACAGTTTGACAGCTTAGTTGGCAACAGAAACTACCATACAAAATTCTTCACTCGATTTATTTTTCAGCGTAATAATGGCTCGTGTTTTAACCCAGTGAAGGCAAACCTCCTCTGCCCTTGTACCGCTACCTCTCGCGCTACCTTTTTAAAATAATATAAAGAACTCATTCGAAAAGGCGTGCCATAAAAAAGGGGAATTAGCTAAATCGCGATCTTAAAAGAAGGGAGGAAGTGGCCCGCCACCACCCCTGCTTGTCTTGTTCAAGCAGTCCACTTCCAGATAAGTAGAGTGTGGGAGGTTGATTGACAAGGACTAACTAGCTAACGTGTCCCATTTTCCGACACTTTTATAGGGCATCTCAGTAATGCTATTTTTAAGATCAAACTTAAAATGGTAAAATCAAGATTGTAAAATATTCGGTCGCGTAAAACATACGGGGGAAAATTAATAAATTGTCAATTTTAGAATAATCCTATATTTTTTTGTTAAGAGATACAAAGAAATGTTTTTTTACAAAAGTCAGGGTATCGGGTCAGGTAAAATGAAGTTATCGAACAATTTTTTTTAAGGGGAACACTATATTTTAATCTAAAAAGATTGTAATCTTTTCAAACATGCAACACTAAAAAGACAAAATTTTTTTGTATTTTTTTTAATTATTTAAACCTTTTTTTTTAATTTCTTTAGTTTTCTTGAATCTTTCGAATTTTTTTGAACGTCATCCCTGGGGATATATTTTTGTTAAGAGAATTTAATATGGTATCGTTTTACATTAAAATTTACAGAGTAATCCATTAAAACAAAATTATCTTAGGTACAATAACTTTTTTTAGCTGACCCCGTACTCTAATTTTGAAAAGAGATGGTGTTCAAAAAAATTCGAATCAACTTTTTAAGGTTCGAAGTGACTTGACCATTAATTTTAAAACGCCCTGTAGAAGGACGATCAAAAATTAAATCATTGGCATGTGGCTCCACGTCAGTATTGCTGATTTTGGAAGACTTTTTGAAATTCAAGCCAACGCAGCCATAGGTAGGGGGCACTAAAGAAGAGCAGTCAAACGATTTTCATGTAGATTTCGAAAATGCAATAAAATATAGGGTGCCCTATTTAAAATAAGATTACTATCCACATCCGGTAAAACCGGAAGTGAAACGATCATGATAATATTTTATTTTGATAGATCATGTTGGTATGCAAATTTTCAGATTTAAATTATTAATGAAAGTCTAAATACATTTAGGTAACGGTTTGCGTGAAACAGCCTGTATATATACTGCATTCATTATAAGAAGGTAGTACATGGGGATGTGTTTGAAGATCAGCACACACAGGAAAAATATAAACCAGCATCAAATTATTGCAAAGTAGAAATATCTAGCACTGCGAACAGAAATAAATCAAACGATGTCACGCTTGGATCATTGACAGCTGACAGCTAATGACAGTTTGACAGCTTATTTAGCTCGATTTATTTTTCAGTGTAATAATGACTCGTGTTTTAACCCAATGAAGGCAAACCTCTCCTACCCTCTCGCGCTACCTTTTTCAATAAATATAAAAAACTCATTCGAATAAGACGTGCCATAAAAAAGGAGAATTAGCTCAATCGCGATCTTCAAAGAAGGGAGGAAGTGGCCCGCCACCACCCCTGCTTGTCTTGTTCAAGCAGTCCACTTCGAGATAAGTAGAGTGTGGGAGGTTGATTGACAAGGACTGACTAGCTAACGTGTCCCATTTTCGACACTTTTATAGGGCATCTCGGTAATGCTCTTTTTAAGATCAAACTTATAATGGTAAAATCAAGATTGTAAAATATTCGGTCGCGTAAAACATACGGGGGAAAATTAATAAATTGTCAATTTTACAATAATCCTATATTTTTTTGTTAAGAGATACAAAGAAATGTTTTTTTTTCCAAAAATGAGGGTATCGGGTAAGGTAATAAAGTTATCGAACAATTTTTTTTAAGAGGAAGACTATATTTTAATCTAAAAAGATTGTAATCTTTTCAAACATGCAACACTAAAAAGACTCAATTTCGATTCAAAAAAATTGAAAAACCATTCTTGAAAATTCGAAAATTTTTTAATTATTTAAACCTTTTTTTAATTTCTTTAGTTTTCTTGAATCTTTCGAATTTTTTTGAACATCATCGCTGGGGATATACTTTTGTTAAGAGAATTTAATATGGTATCGTTTTAGATTAAAATTTACAGAGTGATCCATTAAAACAAAATTATCTTAGGTACAATAACTTTTTTCAAAAAAATTCGAAAGATTCAAAAACACTAAAGAAAATCAAAAAAAGTTTTAAATAATTCAAAAAAATACAAAAAATTGATAACAACAATCATTGTAAAGAAACTTTTATATAAAACATTTTTTTGTATCTCTTTTTAACTAAGGGTCGTACTGAAATTGGTAATTTTGAGTGCATTTTCCAAAAGGAAAGTAGTGTAGCACAGTACCGAGACCAGAATGACAAAAGATTATTTGGATTAGTCCCTTATTACTGATTCTGTGCGGAGAAAATGCGCTTTCCTCGGTCGCGAGTGACCCCGTCCATACTGGTTGAGTTCTTCCCCGTATCTCGTACTTTTTTGATAGCACTAACTAACAATTACGTAGATACCCTGTAAAGGTGTTGAAAATGAGACATCCTGTACATATACTACAGTCGGTCAACCTTTATCCGGGGTTCAAGCCTTACTGATTAGGATGGAAAGATTTGGAGAAGAAATTGGATAAAAGCGTATTGGTCTATAGCTATACGAATTGGGGTCAATGAGATCCCGGGTTTCAGAATAGTTTTGAAAGTGCAAATGCGTGGTAAAAAAACCAGGCAGCAAGAAACGAGTCTAAAACAGTCTGTGTTTCTACTGAATGAAAAGAATTTTACACCACCATGTAAGAAACAAATTATATTTTTTTAGGACGTTGCCGCCCGAGGAATCGATGTACCCGCCGCCGATTGCGTTATCCAATATACAGGTCCTCAAACCGACAAGGACTACCTGCACAGGGTTGGAAGAACGGGACGTGTTGGAAAATCGGGCACCGCGATCATCTTCCTTACACCTGAAGAGGAGGAATACATACCTAAGCTAGGAGCATTGGGCGTACAGTAAGCACTTCGGTTAATACCTACTCGTTCTGTGCTACCATTCGAATGCTTATTAGGTTGAAAAGGCTGCATGCTGTTGACTTTTTAAATTGTCTCTGCGAAATAATGAGCGAGCCGGATTATGAGAAAGCGGGAAGGGCACTTCAGCAGCACTACGAGAATGCGATAAATGAGAATAAGAATTTACGATATACGGCTTGTATGGGTATGTATGATTTTTATAACAATTACTAGAAAATCGAGTGGTTGGGGGGCGAACGATATTTGGATTTGCCCTTAATAACACTTCATTAAGAGCACAACTTCTGCAACCTGTCACATCAAATAGTTTTTGAAGCTATTTTGGTTCCCACCCCATTTTTGAATAGCTACCATTTCCCCTGGGCATTAGCCATTGGTTCATTAGCAGTTGCGAATAAATTGATTTTCGCGAGACATTTTCAAAGCAGTTTCCATCGAGGGAATGTTCGTTTCCTATAACTGTAAAGATTCTTTCTCTGATATTGGGGACGTAATCAAATGGGAAAGACATTCCAACAATGTATTACGTACATATATCATGATTAGGAGAAGGACAATGAGCCACTGTCCATTAAAAGGATCAAGAGATGTGTCATATCGTAAAAAATGTCCCATCCAGACCTAAAATTGGTAGTTCTCTTCCATTCTCAATGAGAAATCCGAAAAACCCTTCCAATTTCAGTCTGCTCTTTGCGTCAGACGTTTTCATTCCATTTCAAGTGCAATTATAGTATTTTAATTGTACGCGAATGGGGAAAAATCATGGCATGAATATAATTAACAAATATCTCGCACTGATAACAAAGTGGCTAAAAGAGAAATGTGTAACACATACAAAACTGAGTTTAGATGTATAATGGAGTGTCGGACGTGAGAGGGTAAAGCGCGTGCTGGGTGAACTAAAACTGCTGAACCGAATCGAACACCCCACATTATTCTGACAACCCCAAGTGGCTTTCTGTGTCCATTCTATAACAGTTTCACTTCCCACACACTAATTCCTCTTTGAAACTCTGGTAAATGCCAACCACAACATCAGTTTACCGACTATTTCGCCCGCCGACCACTTGATTGAACGCGTTAGAAACTTTCCATGCCTTTAATTTTTCTTTTAGTAACGCCAGAAAACATTTTTCTTTCTTTCAGCGTATTCGACGTGGTCACGCTTCTATAACAGCTACCCGTCAAAAATGCGCGCCATTTTCGATTTCAAAAGAATTAATCTGGGCCATTACGCGACGAGCTTTGGATTGCGCTATACGCCATCGGAAATTGGGAAAATCGTGCGAGGACAAGTGGAAAACATCGAATCCCCGCGATTAAATCAAAAGCTCTCCAATTACACGTAAGTCCCACATAATGAGCGTGCTTCCATCTGACGGTTAACAACTAAGCGATTCGCTTTAATACGATAATAAGTTAAACATTAATCAAACCGCTCGCCGGATCATTTTTTTAATTATTTATTTCATTAAAACGAAATTAGTGTACTTCGCACAAAGCGAAGTCTTGCCGGTTTCATCTTGACCTTAATTAAAGATAATAAATGCTATTTGTAAACAATTTGTGTCACTATTTTATAATAGATAATTACCAATTTGTACAACTACCATGAAAGTTACCACAATATAAGAAGTAATTGGCGTATTACAAGAAAATAATGGCACATTTTCGTTGCCTCGCGACGCCCCTTGCACACCTGCCCTGTCCTGCCTTAACGTACTTACGGGAGTAATTTTCTTCTTCATTATATAATGTTTTCACATATAAAATCGTAAAATGGAAGGCAGTATAATAAAAAGGTAATAAATTTAACCTGAAGCGGCTTTTTATTCGGCGCTGGAGTGATTAATCACACACTTTCATTAATTACATTTATACGTGATTAGGTACGTTCACTACTGGCGTTCCTTGATGCCTTCAGATTCTTAATTACGAAAAACTCTCAAAATCGCTACCACTTTTTTTTTTAATTTATATATTCTTGTTTTTACTAGGGACGGTGCTCAAGAGAAAAAGAAAAAAGTGAAGCGCGCCATTGGGAACATCTCAGAGTTTGACAGCGGGTTACAACCATTAAAGAAAAAGAAGAAAAAGAGTTAAATTATACCTTTATCGTATACGAAAAAATGTAATTGCAGTTAAACAATATTCATGCTATTTTTGTTATTTTTATGTTGTCCAATAAATTAAATCTACTGTTGTAACACCATTATTTACAATACTGACGACAATGAAGGATTTGAAGATTTAATTGGGAGCTAGTGAAAATGTGAGTAAGCATTCATGGCACCAGGTCAATTCTCTTATAATGAAGACGTATGATATGTGAGTCGTTTCAGTGAGTGAGACAATGTCAGATTCTACAGTACCTAATTTTTCATTTATTGAATTGAACATAACATGACCATTTTTTCACATGGAAGACCAGTATGTTTCAAATAAATCAATGAACCGCTATGAGATGCTGTCTTGTAGTAACTGTAAAAAAAAATTTTTTGTAGGTTACCCATCGGTGCGTATATCTTCTCAAAATGGGGTAGCATAAATCAAGTTGAATTAAAGTAGGATTTTTGACTGCATTCCAGCTGAAAACACCTGCTAACTACCCCATTTTGATGATTCAACAAAAGTCCGTAAGAATTACAGATCTTCCACATCGGAGAAAAAATAGTAAATAGAAAGGTTAGTCATATTTTAGTATTTTGTCAATTTTGAGTAAAAGTTTAAATGATTGATCCTAAAGTACGCGACAACAATTGTCTTTTTAATGTGTATCGTTATCAAAAGGATCTCCTGAATTTGTTGTCCATTCTAATCAAACTTTCTCTTTCGGAATCAAAGGGATTTCTATTATATTTCACTGTGAAGCAAATCAAGTTCGGGGGTTGTCAACAACCTAATTTCTTAATGTGAAATCAAAAAATTTATATGTGTTTGTAGCCACCCTGTAGCCCGAAGTAAAATTTAACTAAGTATTCCAATTTTGTGGCAGATAGAAGTTAAGTAAATAGAAAATTCAATGGAACAAAAAGATACAACCTTATAAACCACCCTTAACATTTTTCTGATTTTTTAACAATATACAATAATTTGTCACTTCGGCGTTATTATTTTGCTGGACAGTGCAAGGTCAAAGAACACATATTCAACTTTTTAATAAAGTCCAATCCGCAAGTGACTGTTTAAATATTCAAGAGGACATTAACTCAGTAATTAAGTGGTGTATCAAAAATAAACTAAATATCAATAAGTGTAAAGTCCTTACTTTTACTAGATCGAAAAATCCCTTACTTTTGACTATAAGATGAATGGAAAGGTCTTACTAAGAGTCACCTCCGTTAAGGACCTGGGCATGTTTTTCAATACCAACCTTAACTTCAACTTACACATTGAAAACCTAACAAATGAGTATTACAAACTTCTTGGTTTCGTTATCAGAAATAACGCACTTTCACGAATATACAGTCAATGCTTTCCTTATATAATGCGTTTATTAGATCCAAGCTTGAGTATGCTGCATGTATCTGGTCTCCTCAAACTCTCAAATACTCAGACATAATCGAAAAAGTGCAGAAAAAGTTCATCCGAGTAATGTTTTTTAGGTCAACCCAAAATTATCCACATTTGATCTCTTAGGTACCCAGCTTAATTACTTAAATAGTACTTTCGGCTTAAATATAACGAGGTTAGAAACCCGACGGTACATTGCCTTCACAATTTTTGTCCTCAAAATATTACACAATTTGTTAAACTCTTCTGAATTACTTCAAGAAATTAAGCTTAAGGTACCATTTGTTAAGCTAAGGCAAAATAATGCTATTTTTGCAGTTAACAACACAACTTCCCCACTAATTAAGACCTTGATCACTTTAAATAAGTTGTCCTCAGTTAATGATATCGACTTTTTTCACGATCCCCTAAATTCAATAATAAATCAAATTAGATCCTAAGTCCTAATGTTTGTTCAGAGCCCCAGTGCCATGTAATTGGAATTTTTATTCTATATGGTTTGTGGTTAAACAAATAAATATGTAGCCAATTCGCTACAAGGACATGAGAGTTCTTGTGTAAACGAGGGGAGTAAATAGCTAACGTTTTATAGGGGTAAGAGTTAGCATTTTTAACAGTTTTCCCATTTAATAAAAAAACAAAAGAAATTGTCAATCACTTATTTCCAACGGTAGTACCGTTTTTAAATATTTTCAAAATGACGGAGAAACACGTGGCAATTTTCTTTTTTTCTATGGACGCAGTTTTGGATCTTAACATTTTAAGATTGCGTCTTCTTTTCTCTTTACAACGATGTATCTCACATGCGGTCCAGTACCACATTTTGGTAAAAATACAATTTTTCATGTTTTGCGAAGACGGCTTTGGAAAAACAAGACGTTCTTTTGTGGTAAAGAAAAGTTTGACATTTTGTTGATGTAGGGTTCCATCAAGTTTGACAGTTTAATACTTTAATCCTATTTAAAATATGGTTTGTGCTAGTTTTATTGTGAAAATGCGTTTTTCAAGTTAAAAAGGCATTATACAAATTTACTACACTTCACATCGAAATGCTCGCATGGCTGTTGCAGCGTTATCCCGAGCGAACCATCAAGATAGCCCCAATAAATGTGAGCCCAAAATTTTGCAGGGGGTAAAAATGTTAAACATGATTAGACAAGATTAGAAGAGGGGATGTGTCAAGCGCCATAGCAAATCTTAGGAAGAGAGTGGCACTGTGCTTAAAATTAGGAGGTGGGCAATTAGAACGCATGTTATGTGATGTTACATTCGTTAAATATTATTTATCCTTATGTAATTAATTTTATTTGTTACTCAGTTGTAAACGTTGATTAACAAGACAAAACGCAAACGGGTAAACGTCATGTTTAAACGCTACTGACTTGTAAAACTGACAGCAGACCTGTAAAAATTTTACAAGTTAGTAATCTAGTAATTTCATTGGCCAGAATTAATGCGAAGTCTCTGTTACATGGATCACATGATATTTTAGACATTTTTTCAAGATCAATTTAAGAACTAATTATTTACGTTTACTATTGTTTACAAATGAGTAACAAATAAAATATTGTACATTATACGCCAGGTAATAGTTTTTACTGGCTCTAGGAGATGACAGGCTCGCCTAACGGCTCGCCAGTCAACTTCTCCTATCGCCAGTAAAAACTCACTTACCTGGCTAATAATGTAAAATACTATTAATTTAAATTGAAATTTTCTTGCAAAACAAAGGTTTAATTCTGTTCAGTTGAAAATCGAATTTTCTTAACCCAACGAGTTCCATGTCAATTCCGCAACCAGACAAATGGATCAAACTGTCAAACTTTTGTTCACAACAAAAGAACGTTTTGTTTTTCCAAAGCTCTCTACGCAGAAAGTGAAAAATTGTAGGTATTTTTAGGAAAAATGTGATACTGAATCACCATTTGTGAGGCTGAGGCATCGCTGTAAAGAGAAAAAAGACGTATAATCATCCCGAAATTTATTAAAAGCGGGATGTCATATTTGAATGCTCCCTAAAATGTTTTGGTTACATACGATTAGTTTATCACAAAAATTTTCGTTTTCTTGCGATATTTTGAAAACTATTGAAGATCTTTTTACCTTCTTTTCAGATTATTATTCAGCCCTCATTCGACCAACTTTCTATCTCTTAAGACAAGCAAGATCTCTATAGTGGCACTTGAAAAATGAACACCTATTATGCTCGCCAGGAGACTGGCATTCTCTCCTGACGAGCATAATACATGCGAAAACCTTTTTGCTTAAACCCTGTAATTGTATACCCAGTATAATTTAGTACCACAAGTTTTCTTTTTAGGCAATCGGACTAACGAAAACGTCCATCATCAGGCCGTAGCGTCAAATAACTAAAATTGATAAAAAGTCACCTGCGTTGTAATGAATCAATTCATCACAATCCATGTGCCGCACTGATTTTTAAAAATAATTGGATTTAGCTTCTACTTTGTTTCATTGAAAATAAGTAGAGGATAAGATTGACTAAATCTAAGCAACTTTTGTCCTATAATGTTTTTTCTGAAAGTCTCTTCGACCTATTCGCAAATGAAAGTCAATTTTTCAAACCGACGTTTTCAGACAGTTTTTCGCAAAGGAAAATTTTATGGAGTTTTTCTTCTATGGGATAAAAATTGGGTAAGATATGACCGTTTTTAGTTCGGATAATATGTTCGTAAATAGTACCTAACTTGTGCGAGGCCTTTCATCTTATCTATACAAAACTGGTATATATTTTCCAAATTGATAACTACAAGTAAACGGTACCATTACGGCTGTACCTTTATCTGTACGTGTAACCATTACACAAATAAAAATGATTTTAAAAAATTATCAAAGTCCTCTTTTGAGATCGAAGGGACTTCAGCGCATTTTTGTGTGGCAGATCAGTATTCTATTAGCCACTTTCGACTCAACCATCAATAACAGATCTTGTCAAGGGCTACTACATTCACTAACCGCTTCCCACTTTCCGCATGCACCCGCAATTCGCTTTTAAAGTTTTGACTCCACCATCAGTAAGATCGTGTCGGGGGCTACCACATTCCCTTTGACGGTACCCCCTTCCGACGTCCCGTTCACCCGCAATTCGCGTTTGAAGATTTGACTCCACCATCAGTGAGATCGTGTCGGGGGCTACCACATTCTCTTTTACGGTACCCACTTCCGACGTCCCGTTCACCCGCAATTCGCGTTTGAAGATTTGACTCCACCATCAGGAAGATCGTGTCGGGGGCTACCACATTCCCTTTGACGGTACCCCCTTCCGACGTCCCGTTCACCCGCAATTCGCGTTTGAAGATTTGACTCCACCATCAGTGAGATCGTGTCGCGGACTACCACATTTCTCTTTGACGGTACCACTTCCGACGTCCCCGATTCAAGCCGCAAATCACGATTTGAAGATTTGACATCCACTATCAGGGAAGATCGTGTCGGGCACCAATCATTCCCTTTGGGCGTTCGCCGGTTGAAGACTTTGACTCAACCATCAGTAAAGATCGCTCTCGCGGACATACCCACATTCCCTTTGACGTTACCCACTGTCAATGAGTCCCGTCACTTCGCCATTCACTCTATTGGCCGTCCACGAGAAAGAGAGACAAAGCGATTCGAGATTATACGAAACGTTTAAAGGCCGCGTAGTTCGCAACGAAGGTGAAAAGGCCCGAAGATT